CAGGCCCAGCATCCCTCACATCTTCGTCCGCGATTTTCATATCTGTGTCCTCGCCCTCATCCTCGTCCCTCAGGAATCCTGAACTTTCAGTCAATGAACCGCCATCCATCACTTCCTCATCTCCCTTCCTTGCGTCTTCTTCCTCTTCAACTGCTTCATCCATGTTGAACGCATCCCTACCGACATATTTCTTCGCTTCCTTTGGCCCTTCTTCTCCCCTCCGTTGATGACATGGCTTAAGTCGATCGTGGTGAACTACCATCCGATATTTCGGTACCTCTTTTAGCCTGACCCGGTACGTCACACCTTCTTGCAAGACCGTAACCACCTGGTATGGCCCATACCACGACACCTGCAACTTTGGCGAGCGGCCCACCCGTCTCGTCGGTTTGTACAGCCATACCATATCCCCGACTTGAAAGGCATACCGACGAGCGCCCTGCGCTTGCCTTTCTCGTCGTTTCCGGGCCTCACGTGCGATGTTGTTTTGCACTCGGCGCTGAGCTTGACGGAGGGATTCCACCATCTCTTGCACGTACTCCGTCTTGTCACGAGTCGATTGTCCATCACCATGCGCAATCTGAACGGGCAGTCTGGCTTGCCGTCCATAGACCAGGAAGAATGGCGACTCTCTTGCTGGTTTCGTTGACGCTTGTGCGATAAGCGAACATAATGAACGGTAGGTGCCTATCCCGGTCTCACTGATCTTCACGGACATACATCGACAGCATGGCGCACAGGGTGTGGTTGAATCTTTCCGTTTGTCCGATGCCTTGTGCATGGCACGGAGTTGTTCGAGTCTTCTTTATGTTCAGCTTCCTGCAAATCTCCTGGATTACCGTCGCTTCAAAATTTCTACTCTGATCCGAGTGGATCACCTCGGGACATCCGTGGTGACATACAAGCTCTTCCACAAAGATCTTGGCCACGGTGACAGCTGCCTGCTCAGGAAGTGCGAAAGCTTCTGTCCACTTCGAAAACCCGCACGTCACAACCAGCACGTAGCGGTTCCCTCCGTTTGTTCTGGGAAAAGGACCCGTTATATCCATTGCAACCCACTGCCACGGACGGTCCAGCACAGGTATCTCCCCAAAAGGGAAGGGAGACTCTTTTTCTTCGCGCAAAATTTGCATGTTTGGACCCATACCCTGACATCCTGAAACAATGAGCTCCAATAAAGTCTAGCTCTGATTTTTTCTAGCGTCTTCGTCGCCCCAAGATAACCTGCAGAAGAATCGTCGTGACACCTCGCGAGCACATCTTCCATATGTGCCTTCGGCACAACCACCTGCCGGTGCTCAGCGCCGTTCCGGACGAGTACACGGATCAGCAGTCCCTGGGCATCTATCCGCAATCTGTCTTGTTGAGACATGTAGTGCTTCACCACTGGTGATGCAGACGCAGGACATGGACGCCTCCTTCTAATCAGTTCAGTGACCTCTGCCAGGTCCTGGTCTTTTTGTTGAGCCAATCTTCAAGCCCCCTTCCAGCCCATGGATGTCACGTTAAATTCGAACAGTCCCCTGTGCGTTGCAAAAGCAGTCTTGTGTTTATCCTCCTCCTTGAGCTCCTGTTGCCAATACCCACTTATCAGATCAATGACATGGAACCACTCGGGCCCGGACAGGACGTCCAAACAGTCATCGATTCAGGGCAGTGGAAAAGCGTCACTCATGGTATCCGCGCTCAGTCTACGATAGTCGATGCAAAATAGAATCGTCCCATCTTTCTTCTGCACCGGAACTACTCTTGCTGCGTATGGTGACACACTTAGCCTGATGATGTCACGCTCAAGCATGTCGTCGACCATTTAGTCCATTTGCTTTCGCATGCGATGATCCACTCGCGCCGGCTGCATGGACCTCAGCGGCGCATCATCCGTCCGAACTTTATGCCGTACTACGCCTGACCTTCCAAGTGTTCCATCGGTGGGACAGCGATGCAGGTACGCAGTCAGCAGCTTCGCGGTCTTCTCTTTTTCCTCTTCCAATTCCAAAGCATACTTTTCAATCAGTTTCCTGACGATGCTGTCACTTGCCTTCCCTCGCTGTTGGATCGTTCGGGCTACGTTACGAACAACGTGGGGTGGCGAGGACTCATGCACCGCCGCCACCTGTTCAACATGTCCGACAGCTGCTCCTTTTTATGATTTGATGCTTCCCTCACCTGGATTCACAAACCTCAGGCTCACCTGACGATTGTCTCCAACGGTGTCCAGCACGTGAGCGCCTACAACCTGGTGCTCATCTTGAAACGTCCCATCAGGAGTGTACATTACGCATGTTCCAGCTGGCTGGTCCAGAGCCGCGTTCCCCTTCGTGGCGACCTCATGTCGACCTGGCACGACAATATCGCATGACAGTGTTACCATGCCACAACGAAGAGCTGTCACAGCTCCAGCCTGCATCTCATCACTAATGGGGGCAAGCCTTTCCGAACCTACAGACACCTTTCCAGAAATCCAGTCAATTGAAACGGTGGCCCCCAGCCTTCTCATGACATCAGTGCCCAGCGAACACTGCGTGGTCATTGCTGGCACAACAAACACAGGATGTTGTGAAAGAACAGAGGCGCCTACACGAATATCCGCCAACACCAACATCTGGAACAACAAGGGTTTAGCATCGATTGTAACAGGATGCTGGCGCACCGCGCAGGGTGCTAAATCGCAAACGCCCGGTACTGCCGAGCTTACTAATGTACACTCAGCTCCTGTATCCAACGACCATGTCACAGGCTACTCCTGCACTGTCCCTCCAACATACTCAGTCTTTAAATTGTTGTCGGAAACAGTGGTTGCACCCAAAACAGCTTTCCCGTCTCGCGCACCACTGCACAATCCCTGGACCACATCGTCACTGGGCCTCGCACCTGGAACCGCAGAGTGGCCCTCTTCTCCGGCTCTCACTGAAAGCCCATTTGAGCTCGGCAGTTACGCAAAATGGCCAGGCTGTCCACATCGGAAACACAGACCACCGCGCCCCCGCTGTAGGCCACCACAGTCTTTGGCCGAGTGAGCACGACTACCACAACGATAACAAGCACCACTAGGAACAGCTGTTCCTCCATGACCTCCATGTCCAGTGCGCCCGCCCGCGCGGTAAGCACCTATACCTCGCACTCCGCGATGAGCACCCCCAAAGGTCAATCTGCCAACGCTCGCCTGAAGTTCTGCCATGGAGGCTGCCACCGTCTTGACCTGGTCGCGGAGCTCCGCCACCTCCTCCGCTACGGCAGACTCCACCTCCAGCCTCCTCGCCGGCGAAGGAGTCGGAGCCGAAGGTGCACCACGAACCTGCTCAATCCTCCTTGTCCGCCGTTCCAAGTCGACCAGAGATTCGTCTTCTGGGGCTTGAAGCATCAGCTGCGTCCTGAGATCATAGTCCAGGCCATTGATGAATTAAGCCTTGAGTCCCTTCTCGAGGGTCAGATGCCCATTCTGGGCAAGCCCGTTCCGCCAGTTGCTGTAATTCATGCAGATATTCAGCTGTTGACTGTCCCAGCTGGCGTCGGTATGAGCTCAACTGCAGTGCATAGTCACTTAGCAAGCCAGGTGAGTCCAACTCGGACATCAGCGATTTTCGCAACTCTGTATATGTGCTTTTGCGGTCATCTGGCAAGTGCATGAAGAAATCATATGCCTTGTCAGACAGTGACACCGACAACTGAATCAGTTTGGTGATCTCATCAGTCCAGCCACTAACCAGTGCGCACTGCTCAAACTTGTGAAGAAAGCGCCTGATGTTGTCAATCCCATCAAAATATATTGGTCTAACCACTTTGCCACTAGATGCCATGCCAGGTGACTTTATCTCTTCCTGAATTGTTGGCTTAACGTCCTCTTCAGATGTCGTCTTCGGCATCAGGTCTGGCCACCGCTGCCACCATTGTGACAACTTCCGAGCTGTGGTTTATTCAGGAAGTAGTACACCGTCGATCTAGACACCCAGTCAGCAACACGTGCAAAGGACTCATTAGCTGGCAACCAGCCATACACCACATGCAGCCCTGGGAGCTAGCATAAGAGCATGCAGCATGCAGCAACGAGAGCGTCCACGACGACATGCACCAAGCAACTACCATGCAAGCCACTACCGCATGCGACACCAACAGTACATGCACAATCACCAAGGATATGGACGTGCAACAAGTCCCCATGTATAAAAATATGTATATATATATATATATATATATATATATATATATATATATATATATATATATATATATATATATATATATATATATGAGCCAGAGCTCAATCAGATACTTCATTTTGCAGCCTGCATGAGTCGTGAGTTAGGTAATTCAATGTAAGCATAGTCTGTACTGAGTCAAATGAAAATGGAACAGCTGAGTCACAAGGTGAATCAGATTCTACAATCTAATTACTCGGTTTACGTGGGCAGCCGAGGGTAACTCGGATCAAGATCGGAACGGATCATGCGACGTTAAACCTCTCGCCGAGGTGCGTTTACATGGGCGAAACCGGCTTTACGTCGGATTAACGGTCGATATACCCCGTTTACATGGGCAGCCGAGGGTAACTCGAATCAAGATCGGAACGGATCATGCCACGTTAAATCTCTCGCCGAGGTGCGTTTACACGGGCGAAATCGGCTGTACGCCGGATTAACGGTCGATAGTTCAATCCCGCTTAGTTCGAATCAACGAACGGATTATGGGGCGAAAACTGCGCTTTTGAGGCGAACTTAACAAAAATAAATAAATGCCAGTACTCTGCGTATGGATGGCGAATGTCGAAAGCCATGGTGGGCGCGAGACGGTTTTGAGGGCGAGGAAGATGGACTCCGTTGGAAAAACAATCTGTGCGGGACTCATAGGCTTTATAGCCACAGCACAAACCATAGCACTTAAAACACAAAAGTTGCGTAGTCAGCACTGCCAAGTCTGTGCCATAGGTAGTGTTACCTTGAAATTTTACTAATGGACCTGATACATGTGGACATTGTGCCTTGCAAGGAGCACGATCACAGAAATTTGCTCAAAACAGAAAAAAGCATTTACAGATATTCCAGCATATAATTCTGCTAGAAACAGTTCCTTTGATCACAGGTATTCAATCAGTCTGGTGAGTGAGTTGAGTGTGAGTCAGTCTGGAGCTGACTCAAGACATTTGAGTCAAACCAAAGTCCGATGCTAGCCACATCTCGGGACTAGTATCCCATTCTCCACCCTGCCATGCCGCCAATCTCTCTGAAGGCCCCATAGTCCAGAATATATGAATATCACATCCAGCCGTGATATTAATAAAAAACTTCTGTAAACAACGTACGAGTTTTTCCAATCACATTTCCGAACTGCTTCCCCCATGCTCCCCACTAACTAGGTGCCAACCAACAGACCTTGGGGCGTTCTAGGACAGCTCACATTCAAATGGGAATGGCATCCCAAATTGATGAAGGTTTTCTACTCCCATCAGCAAAAAGAAATGAACCTATGGCGATACACAGGGATGGCAAGGTGCTGATCCTGGGTGGGCACTGACATTACCCATGCATGCCAGTATATGAACTGATTTATGGTTTGAACAGAATGCTTTTCAGAAGCAGTTGTATTGAAATAGCAGGTCTTCCTGTTTTCAAGAAAATCGTATGATTGATACACATTTTATTGGTGCCTGTAAAGTGAATGTGTACATGGAGGGTACCCAAATGGGCTACAATGCTGACCATTTGTGCTTACATGGATGTGTCACTAATGCAAAATACTGGTAGGCTTAGAGGGTTCCCATTTGTTTTATTTGCATTTTGAGCATATCCAAGATGAATTGCAAATGTGCCTGATGTGTTAATTGCAGGTTTGAGTAGTGCCAGTGACCAGTTCATTCAAAGCCATTGAACTGGTGATCTTGCTTGTATTCAAGTGACCCATTATGGGCTTATCTGGTAAGACTGTCATATACCACATCTGCTTCATGCCTGCTGTAAGGAGATGGAACAGTTTATCTCCCTTGATTTACTTTGGTTAGGCATTTTATTTTGCAAGGTTTCATCAGATATCATAATGCCATCTTATACTGTGTAGAAACTATTATTTGCTGGCTACACACAGAGCCACTATCAGCCCTGACAGAGAGGTGACAGTGAAGTCAGGTCCTCATGAAGTGGATACTATAGACTGAGTGTACATCTATGGAAAACATATAGGTTGTGAATACAGTTCAACTGTGAGTGTTCTGTACGTTGTTGTTCACATTGGTCCTGATGCTGAATATTGAAATTGCCCACCAACTGACATGTAAGACATAAGATGCCATAAACAGTAAATTATGAAGGTCTTGTGGAAATCCCATCAGCATACCTTAAGAATACAATAATTACTATACAAACACCAGACATGGGCAAACTGGGGTCTATCAAACTGTTAACTGGTGCATGTCAGGGTCATCCAGGTGGATCAATGTGTCAAGGCCATCAGGGGGATGAAGGGGATTTGTTTTTTTATAAGGTGGAAATTTTCTGTGCTGTTTGTGGATTGCATAAGTTGCTTAGTGGATTAGTGAGGAACATGATTCACACAAGTGAGACAGAAGTATTAAGTTTATTCCTCAGAGAAAAACCAAGAAAATGGAAATAAAGATGGGTTGATATTTTGGCAACATGCCTTTATCAAAACAATAGCAGAAGTTCATTTCTGCCATTGTTTGGATGAAGGCGCTGAAATTTACTTCTGCAATTACTTAATAAATGCATATTGCTGAATTATCAACCCACCTGTGTCTCCATTCTCCTGGTTTTTGTTGGAGGAATGAGGCTATTACTTCTGTCTGACCTGTTTCTAGAATGGTCAAAATGGCAAACAAATATGGCATCTTAATATGGTGGTAGGAATATGATTTGGAAGTACAGTGAAGCAGCAATGGATGAGCCATGCCTCTTCACTGATTTTCCTCTCCTGGTCCGACTGAAGACTACTGTTGGGCTTGTGCTGAGAGGACACATTCAGGCTCAGGTAAGAAGGGCATCATCATGGCAATTGGTGGTATGTGAGGGATGACTCACCATCAAGCCTAGAGGTGCCCCATGCCTAACAATCATTTGTCTCTGTCACAGCTGGTAGTCTTCCATTTTTTATCCAATGACTGCTGTCTCTGTCAGGGCTAATGGTGGCTCTGTGCGTGGTCTGGTAACTACCTATATCCATCAGGGCCAGTGGTGGCTCCCTGTGTGATCTAATGGCCATCTGTCTCCATCAGGGCCAATAGGTGGCTCCTGTGTGATCTAATGGTCATCTGTCTCCATCAGGGCCAGCATTGGCCAGTGTCTGATGTGATGACCATCTGTCTCCACCAGCACCATTGGTGGCTCCTGTGTGATCTGATGACCATCTGTCTCCATCAGGGCCAATGGTGGCTCCTGTGTGATCTAATGGTCATCTGTCTCCATCAGGGCCAGCATTGGCCAGTGTCTGATGTGATGACCATCTGTCTCCACCAGCACCATTGGTGGCTCCTGTGTGATCTGATGACCATCTGTCTCCATCAGGACCAGTGGTGGCTCCTGTGTGATCTAATGGTCATCTGTCTCCAGCAGGGCCAGCAGTGGCCAGCGTCTGATGTGATGACCATCTGTCTCCATCAGGGCCACTGGTTTTCCATGTGTGATGTGATGATTGTTCAGGGCTGGTGGTGGTCTGTGTGTGATGTGATGATTGCTTGTCTCCATCAGGGCTGATGGTGTTGGTGTGTGATCTGTGATGTGATTACTGCCTGACCTTCATGTGATCCGTCAGGGTCGATGGTGGCCTGTGACCGTGCTGGCGCCGCATTATCCGGACCTGAAGCAGCTGCAGGTCTGTCTGGGAGAGGACCTCCAGGCTCACGCCCCACCGGTGGGTGCAGTTGGAGGCTGTCATCAGGGCATTTAAGAGGGGCTGAAAACTGGGGTAGCTTAGAGTTGAGGACATTGCCGAAATTCCTCTGGTATCACTACATCTGTTGAGATTTGTGCTTGTCACTGGCCCCTACTCCCTGTCAAATGCGTACTCACATGTGCTGAAGATGTAATATTTTTGTAATAACCTGGTACCAGCTGCACCAGCCTGATGCATGTTACCGACTTAGAGCCTCTAAGTCCATACAAAGAAGGGGTGTATCTAGCATGACTGTAGTTCTTCTGTCCACCCGGCGCAGACGCTTCGTTACTAGTACTGGTGAAATCATATCATTGCCAACCCACGTCCCACTCGAATAGCGTGGCAAGCGCCAGTTCTGCCGAAATACCGGCCGCACGGTCCCAGGGCATGAAAACGCTGCATCTGTTGTAGGTGCTTAAAACATTTTATTTCATGATGTTTCATGGGTTTTATCGGCATAATTATGGGCTGGATGATCGTATAGACAGCCAATGCTCTCACACTTCTCAAAAACAAGATATAATAATGTCATTGTTTCCTGACCACATAAAAGACCCAGCTGATGAGTAGAAGGCCTCAGCTTTAGTTCGACGCCTTGCTGCCCAATCAGTTGCACATTTGCATGACATTATTTCCAAACTACTAGACACATAGCTCACGTCACTCCTTCGCGATATGTACAAAAGCCTGTCAGATGATCTGTCCGTGCTGCCATCTGTCTACACATGTTTGTTGTATCTATGAATATTCAAAGGCTCCTGAACCAAATGTGAATGACATCTTCAACTTCATGCAAGCACTACTTACCTACCCACATTCACGCATGCAGACCTATGCTCACTTCTCCGGTTCCACTTCTCAGGATGTGGGCAGCTGCAGTACTCTACATGAAGCCATCGCGACATATCGGAGCAGCCTGGTATGTCGGCAGGTCGGCCCCGCTGCAGTGGTGGTGTCTCTTGTCTGATCCGACTGGAAATCTCCGTCTCCCGTCACACACAGAGGCCGTGTTGCTTGTCCACTTCAGGCTCTGAAACACATATCGGTCGCACATAGTTATTTGAGCTTTGTTGAAAATGCGGGAAATACTGATCCACCGCTTAGAAGTTGAACCCTCAGATTTATTATCTGTCCCAAAATCGGTTATTATCGGTTCGGGACGGTAGTATGCTGTCTTCTTTGAGCTCGGCTCGAACAAAGGATGGCCCGTCCTTGGACTCGGCTGCTGCACAGTCCCCGCCACTGTGCGGCAATGCTTGCCACTGCCGCCTGGCGGCGCCACTGTTTGTGGCGACTGCTGGGCGTAGAGTAATCGCCAGACTGAATATCGCTCTTCTCTTGAGTTATGTTCGTGAAGAACAATGTCCTTCCTCCTCCTCCTCCTCCCCCCCCCCTTCCTCCCCCGTTCCCGCTCCTGGCCTTAGCACTTTGCTGCACTTCTCCGTGCTGCCCCACAGGAGTGCTTGCCGCCGCCGCCCCCTGGCGGCGCCACCGCCGATGGCGACGACGCGGCCGTGATCGCTCTGAGAAGTCACGTGGCCGTGCTGCGTCAGCTGCGGCAGATCGGGCTGCATCACGTGACCTGGGCCAGCACTGACCTCAGCCAGGTGACGCTGTCCACTCTGGACCGGTGGGTACCCTCTGACAGCGCTTCGCTGGTGTGGTGGGTCATATCCCGTGAATAGCACAGCAGCCAAAACGCTGTCAAGCCCCAGTAATGGGTCAGTCGGCCACCCGGCGCCGTTCCTGCTTCGCAAAGGCAAATGCACGGGTGTCGCGTTTTCCCGGATGACGCCTGTGCCGTTTTGGCTTTGTTCGGCACGGCGCGTAGCGACCATCCTGGGCCGGTTAACACCCTCACAAGATCGGAGTTTGCTTTCTTTTTTCCGGACTTCGATACCGTGGTAAGTTTTTTTGACAAAAGCTTTGGACTGGGTGGCGTTTTTTTTCTCAAATCGATGGAAACCGTCTGTTTTCCTCGGACACAGCACACTTTCAATTTGCAGACCCCCATTGCCTTTTGATTGTTTTTATTTGAGTTCATCAGTGAGTGATCTGCAGTCTTGCTGTGAGGCTGTTTGTGAACATTTTACAATCTGTGTGGGGTCATCGCCAGTGAGAAACCCGCAGTTAAATTCAACCATTCGTGGTTCTCGAATATCGATAAGATAGAAGTAATAGCCTTATTCCTCGGAGAAAAAAACAGGAGAATGGAGATGTAGTTGGGTTATGAATGGTTGAGTTTGACTGCAGGCTTCTCACTGGTGATGACCCCACACAGATTGTAGATCGTTCACTGGTAACAACATCACAGCAAGATTGTAGATCACTCACTAGTGATGAACTCCAATGAAAACAATATCTCCATTCTCCTGTGTGTGTTTTCTTTTTTTGTCTGAGGAATCAGGCGATTACTACTGTGGTACTTACGCGAATAGTGCTCCTCGCTAATGCACTTAACAACGTACGTAGTTCTGGAATATCATTGCGATGGGTTTACGTCCGGAATTTGGCGAATAAAAATTCGAACAGCTGTGCATTTGCGGCATGGATGTGACTGAGTGCATTTTCTTTGAAAACAGTATGCACGCCTCCAAAACGCTTCAGTATGGATCGGTCCGCTGTCATTAGACACTGGTGTCTGGTGTTGTCTGTATTCGATCTGCATTAAGGGACACACTTTCATGTTCAGCTAATGGGCTCAACTCATATCGCAGCCAATGGTCTCATCTGCACACTTTGTCTCACCAATATAGCGTCACTAGATTAAAGTTATCATCTCAGCGCCTCTGACCTCTGTGGGCTGGAAGGTATCTTGCGCACCACCTCGGGCTGATGAGGCACCACTGGTAAATCCGAAGTTATGATCCAGTGGGCACCGGTAGGCCAGCTGACCATTTCGTTAGTGATTACATCCAATTGTACTGTATCTTTGAAACGTTTTCTTTTTATGATGAAACGTCAAGGTATGCAACGAGCCTTGCATTGGTGCTTAGCGGACCCGTGCAGTTAGCATTCCCGTGCAATGCGTAATGTGCTGCGTGATTGCAATCGCGGCGTACCGAAGTCACACTTTAGAGCAGCTTATCGTTATTTTAGCCAATCTTTGCCGTGTGACAAGCTCCTCGGCGTCGTCTGCCCCAAGATGGCACGAGATGTAAAAGCACGAGATTTTCACGCCCTGTCTGGTGAACTGGTCAGGTAAGGCGATTCCTACACACTGGCGGTAAGGCGCCTTTCTAAGAAAAGTAATGAATCGGTCCTCTAATCCGGATCGACCGCAGCCGGCGATGCGTCCTGTTCTGCCACCCGTCCGCGTGCTGAGAGAGCGGAGGAGGGGTGGGGGCGGCAGGAAGGGGGCGGATGAAGCCATGCAGATACCGACACGTGGCCTGCGCCCTTGCTTCCGGAGGACGGGCCCGGCGCCGGCCGGCCGGCACAGCTCTCCTGGCAACGCGGCGGGCCACCACAGCGCGCGACCGCGGCGCTCTTGGTGCCGTGGACCGCTGCAATGCTGGCCGTGGACCGTCGACGTGACGCGCTTCATCCCTTCGAAATACGCCCGCTTCTCGCCGCGCATCTCCGTAGGCAGTCCCTGGGGATGTGCCGGTGGCTGGGAGAGCCCACTATCCGCTGAAGTTCCCGCCCTGTCGAACCATCCATGCATTGTAGGCCTTTTCCTCTCGCTTGACCTATCGGCACACCCGGCAGTGTTTCGCCCACACCCGACACATCTCACAAAAGCGGCGAACTTGTGGCCATCTGGGCCGGCCAGCGAAGGCCAGGATGTGCTCCGTGGCGCCCACTGTCGATCAGAGGCCGCTGGAGGTGACCTTCGGCTGGCTCGCCACGCGCCTGTGTGGGGCATCACATCCGCTCCCATGCGCCGGACCGTGTCCGCCGTGCGTGTCTCGGTGGGGGGGGGGGGGGGGGCTGCTCCGCACTGTACCGGAGGCGGGACACCGTGCGACCCGTGACTGCAGGTGACGTGGCGCTGATAGCGGCGGCGTTGGCGTCAAAGGGACGGCGCCCTATCGCTAGTCGTGACGACGACTCGTTGACGCGCATCGCGGAGAGATTACGGTCTTAGTGTGCATATTTGTGTAACTTGTATTTGTATTTGCTTACTCGAAAACATCACGGAGATGGCTTCTCGGGTCGTCGGCTCGGTAGAACGATTGCTATGTTAGGTTGGTTACAACACTCACTCGTCACAACGCGTCACAAAAATACTATAAAAACGATATTAAGAAATATACCATAAAAACGACGTTACGAAACAGGCGTTAAAATATGATGTAAAGTACGATGCGACGGAATACGGTACGCTTAAATACAATGCAATAAAATATGATGCCCTAAAATACAGAGATTGAGCGATGAATTCCATAAGTGTTTTGACTGACAACAGAACGTGCCCAAGCAGCGTGCACACGAAGTTGAATGAGAATAAATTGTAAGTACATGTAAACTATTGGCATGCAGAGGTCACACACGTACATATGGCGTGCGGTCATGGAGGTGACCAGAATAGGCTTAAAACGAAGGCACATGACCAGACAATAGCCTTTTGAATGCGAGTTTTTAATGCCTCAGAGATGAAGACGTACTGGTGGTTGGAGGCACGCGGTTCCGAAGTGCCGCGGCATGATAAGGAAGGGCTCGCTAGTTGGCTTCCAGTGGGCACCTGGGCAGGTGGAGAGACGTTGAGTTGGAGGAGCTTGTCTCCCTTAGTGAAAGAGAGGAACGTGGATTGAAAGGAGATTATTGGACAGTCGTTGAGCGAGCGATTAGGGGCCATTGAAACTGTAGGGGCTTGCAAACTCTTTAGATCTCTTCGTCTCTATCTCTCCCTCTCTTCTCTCTCTCCTATTATATTATCGTACTGAAGCTCGCTCTACTCTAGTAATCGTCTCATCCTCAGAATCTCTCTCTCTCTATCTAAACTCCAGAGAGCAAATCTCTCTCCAGTTCAGCGTCTTTCTCCTCTCTCTCTCTCTCTCTCCTCGCTCTCTCTCTCCGCTCTCGCTCTCCTCCTCTTCTCTCTCTCTCTCTCTCTATCTCTCCTCTCTCTCCTCTCTCTCTCTCTTCTCTCTCTCTCTCTCTCTTCTCTCTCTTCTCTCTCTTCTCTCTCTCTCCTCTCTATCTCTCTCTCTCTCTCCTCTCTCTCTCTCTCTCTCTCTCTCTCTACTCTCTCTCTCTCTCTCCTTCTCTCTCTCTCTTCTCTCTCTTCTCCTCTTCTCTCTCTTCATCTCTCTCTCTCTCTCTCCTCTCCTCTCTCTCTTCTCTCTCTCTCTCTCTCTTCTCTCTCTCTCTCTCTCTCTCTCTCTTCTCTCTCTCTCTTCTACTCTCTCTCTCTCTCTCTCTCTCTCTCTCCTCTCTCTCTCTCTCTACTCTCTCTTCTCTTCTCTATCTCTCTCCTCTTCTCTCTCTCTCTCTCTCTCTCTCTCCCAAGTTTTGAATCCTTTGAACCTATCACTTGATCACACCGCTCCATTCGCATACACAGCAAGATGTGTGAAGAACAACGTAGGTTTTGGCGATGTATGTGACGAAGGTAGAACACCGGGCAGGGCTGGGTACTTGGCCTGCTTCCTACCGGAGCAGAGCCGGGAAGGTCACAGTTTGCATATCGGGCATATGAGACCCTTTACATGTTACCGGTTGATGTACATGAGAGCCGAGAGTCGCATGCCAATTGCCAAGATCGGCTTGAGTGGCAGTTGATCCCCTCACGTCATGGTAACCCAGGTGACCCAAGCGTGCCCGGCGCGTAAGTTTCTGCCGACCTGTGGTTGGTGTGCGCGTTGTCGTATGGATGAATGCTCATCGGTTATCTTCCACTCCATTTCTCCTTCGGTTTTACAGCTCTAGACGTGAGCGGACGATTAAAATATACAATACGTGGCTATCAAATATGTACCACACGTGGACGGGCTGTTAATCGACAATGTTGACGATGATCATGTCCAGCAGGCAGCAGATGTGTTGATGCGTGCGTGCCAAGCACGACGAATGTCTTCTGTGCCGCCACGTTGCAGGCTCGCGTGTCGCCAGTGAACCCTGAGCTGTGCATCAGTGTTGTCGGCCTGCTGGCGTGCGGTCACCGTTGTTTGTGTCGTGCGCCGCAGAGCGGCGCGACGTCACCAGCTGAGCCTCACCATAGGCGCCGACTACCCCGGTGTGTGTCCCCGGCTGGCGACCGACCTGCCCGCAGACCTCGCCGTCACCTGGCATCGGGTGGGTCACAGCCGAGATCGCGTATGGGTTAGAGGTCACGGATAGGTCAGAGGTCACGGACCAGTCAGAGGTCACGGACCAGTCAGAGGTCATGGACCGTTCAGAGGTCACGGACTGGTCAGAGGTCACTGACAGGTCAAAGGAACCGTAGTGTTGTGTTGGACGGAACGCTGTCATGCTTGGTATCACGCTTGTTAGGTACCAGCCGATCATCCCATGGCTCACAGGCCGATTGATCTTGATGATAAGCGACATTGGACCGGCGGGCTTTGGCATCGGGGATCAGGCCAGACATAACCGTCCATGACGATGGTCTGCCTGCATGACATTGTGCTGCAGCACGTTGGGACGCCATGCACTGACCAAACATTGAATCTGAGCATTGGTAAGGCGTATTTCCCTCCCACGTGATGGTCGGTCGTGTGAGCGTCGTCTCATGTCCAAGGAGACAGCTGGTCCCCTCCGCTCGGCCGGCCCCGCCGTAGAGGCACTACCTGAGGACGCCGTGTGCCCCACCCGCCAGGGCATGGGCCTGCTGGACCTGTTTCAGCGGTTTGAGGAAGCCGTCGAGCGGTATCAGGCCTTCTGGAACGCGCTGGACGCGGTGGACGCCGAGCTGTGGGTGGTGGATCCGGAGCGACCGGCGCGGAGGGACCAGCGGCGGCGCCTCGTCATCAGTACGTCAGCCTGGTGGCCACCATCGGCGCCGGCGGCGTGCCCGACAGGCCGGTCGGCGCTGCGAACGCGTCACTGCCATGTCGATGTGGGCGCTGGGTTATCAGAGACCGCTGTTTGTCCTGCCGTTGCACGAGGATTCTGTGTTTTTTGCTTGTTTTTGGAGGAAGTTTTTATTGTTTTGTTTGGCGGGAATCATTCTTAGCTCTCCGCGGAAATCTCGAGTTTAATATGGCAATGCGCGTCAAAATCTGTGGTGTCTAAATGAACTGTGTGAAACATTGTTGCTTTCGAACCATTGAGCTGAGATAGTTCCCGCCGCTGTACCTGGTGGTAGCGCGAGAGACTGTGCTTCGGGTGTCACACCTAGATGTCACCACCGTCGCAGGCGGCCAGCTGTCGCTGGAGGTGACCGTGGAGCCCCTGTACCCCACGGCTGTGCCGGGCTGCCGGTTTCTGGGCGCGGAGGCGGCCGCTGCCGAGCTGAGGGAGCGACTCGCCAGCAAGATAGACGTGAGTTCAGCCGCCATGCTTGCGCGGGCGACTCGTGCACTGATCTGTGGTGGCTTATGCAGGGCTCGTGCAGCTCTTCGTGCCTAGTCAGCTTGCAAACTTGTGCAGCCGAGTCACAGTTGTGCCCGGTCAGGTTACAGTAGCGCCTGTCCAAACTGCAGGTAATGCTGCAGCACCACGGAGGTGATGGAGTCCGATACGTCAACGGACTTCGTTTAGAATAGAATCCTTGCGGGAGCTGGCTTAAACGACGACATGTTTCTCTCTCGCAGCGTGCCGCAGTTTCGACGTGCCGTTGGTCTCCTGATGGTTTTGTATGCCGGTTTCGGACCCGGTCCTCGTCGGGGAGCCGCATACCCGGCCGTCAGGCTCTCGTGCGGACCTGCTCGCTCCGCCAGCCCGCGGGCTCGGTCCGCTGACCCAGTCCGCTGCCCCAGTCCGCTGGTCCGGCGCTCGAGGTCAGGCGGCCCGCTGGAGCCGGACTTCCGCCGGCCGGCGTGGCGCGCGCGCAGCTGGCGCCGACGCAGGATGTGACCGTCTGTCGACGGTGCGGCGGATGCGACGCGCGCCGGTCGGCCACGGCGCCGCCGCACCGCCACCAGCTGGCCACCAGGCGCCGGAGCTGTGGGCGCGGCGGTGTCTGCGGTTTGTGGGTTTTGTTTTGAGGCTTTCGACGAGTGCGCTGTCACGGCAGGCAGCACCGTCAGCATCAGCAGCAATATGAGCTGCAGCTGATGCGCCGTAAGCGCCGAACGGCAGCGACCCGGTCGTGTCCGTGGGTTGCGCTGTCTCGATTGCGGCTTAATGACAGGCGAATGCCCTACGGAGCGGTTTGGCCTCGGGCGGCCGGCCCCTCGGCCGATATGTCGGCCGAGAGAGGTCACAGACCAGGCGTAAGATGGAGAGTAGTCAGCCCCCCTCCCCCCCCCCCCCAACACACACTCCAAACTGGCCAAGCTGCAACGACGCTTGGTCCCGCTCTTCCTGACAGCGTTCTCGAGGAGGGTGTCGGCTCTGTTGCCTCAAATCGGTACCGAGTTGGCGTACATTGGTAACGGGATGAAAATGACGTACTTCACTCATTTAGCTATGCAACGTCTGAAGTCTGTCTGACATCCAGATGCACCGACAGCTATACGGAGCGCGAGAGATGCATAAGCTCCTCCATCTTGTATGAACTCAACATTGCACGGCCACACGACTCGGCAAGCTGCGAGCGTTTGAAAGGATGTTCGGCGATGAGGGCTCTTCGGACATAGGATACGAATGCAGCCTGCCGCCCGGCTCCAGGTACGCAGCATCTGGTAGTGGTCTCGAATACACCGTCTGGAACTGCATGAACTGTGAATCAAGACGGAGCTGTAAGCGGACAGATGGGTGTCGGGTAGTATGGCGGGTTTCGATAAGAGTCTTTAGTCCAGAGCCGAGGCTGTTGGGGACCATTTCGGTTACGGCTCTGAGTCGTGGCTCGGAACGTGTTCTTTGTCAAATAGTTTTGCATGCAGCCTGTTCAGCGATGTTCGCGGTTCCGGGAGGGTCTGGAAGAGCCACGCGCCAAGGGTAGGGCGGCTGTGTGAAGCCTCCAGCCGTCCCTCGCGTTTTATTTCACGGTTGACGCTGTTCTAGTGTTGGCCTTTATTGTAGCTATTATAGCATTCTGCGACCATATGAAAATCCTGATCGAAATTGATGCATTGTGTGATTTGGCCTGATGATCAATGCAAGATGAGCAGTTTGGGGTAAATAAATGTCCTAAGAATCGTGCTGCGTTAAAGTGATGTTAGATCACCGGAACTACTGCTTTCTTGGTATGCGGTTATTGACTTCATGATCATGAACATAGGTACTGAATTTTCGCGAGTGACAGCACGCATTCGAGCCAACTTTAAGTGTACGTAGGCACCGATTATTATCATGTATTTACGTCGATTCCGTCAAGCATAATCCCAACACTGCACCTGCGACAACCTCGAAACACGCTCAAAACACCAACGCGGTACGGGAAGCAGTTTGCACCTTCATCTTCTTGGCAGTGTGTTGCGTTGTGTAAGGCTGCGTATCATCAGCACCTGCATGGAGCACATCCCTCGCTCCCAGGCAGAAGAAGCATGTTTCGCCCTTGTCCGTGGGGCTGCTACAACAGAAGCCGAGCCGTCGCTCACGGCAGCAACGCCGGCGGGGCCGCCCCGGTGAGGGGGCCGGCTGCCGCGCGCTGCCCCTCCGGCCGCTAGTAGTACTCGGAGTCCGCGTAGGGGTAGTCGTCATAGTCGTACTGTGAATCGTCGTACGTGTAGTCGAGGACGGACGTGGCGTCGGTGGGCGCTTCAGTCAGCGGCGGCTCCGGCGCCGGTTCGGTGTCGGCCTCCGTCTCCGGCTCGGCGTATGCCTCGGTGATCGGCGCCGCGCCCGGCTGGCGGCCACCGTCGCCGCCGGCCGCCGCGGCCACGGCGTCCTCGGCTGCGAGCGTTGGCATGCAGCGCTGCCGGCACTCCTCGATCGTGTGGAACGCATTGGCGTTGCCGCCGCAGCCGCCGTAGCCGAACTGCTCGCATCGCTGGGTCTCGGTGTTGAAGAAGTAGTGCAGAAGGTAGGCCCTGCATTTACCTGCATCTGGCTGCAGCTGGCACGGGTCCACCCCGGGTGCTGCAGTCGGGTGCGGCCCTCGGCGTTTTTTCGGCGCCTGCGTGGGGCTGGGCGGGGCCTCGTCCGGCAGGCTGGGGGAAGCGCCCGCAGGCATGCAGCGCTGCTCGCACTCCTCACGCGAGTCGAAGTTGTTGGCGTTGCCGTCGCAGCCGCCGTAGATGAACAGCTCGCATTGCTGGGTCTCCGTGTTGAAGAAGTAGCTCCTGAGGTAGGCATGGCATTCACCTTTGTCTTTCGGCAGCTGGCACGGGTCCACCTCGGGTGCTGCTGTCGGCTGGTACAGCGGTCTGCGTTCGTCCGGCACCTGCGTGGAAATGGGCGGGGCCTCGTCCGGTAGGCTGGGGGAAGCGCCCGCAGGCATGCAGTGCTGCTCGCACTCCTTACGCGTGCGGAAGTTGTTGGTGTTGCCGTCGCAGCCGCCGTAGCCGAACAGCTCACATTGCTGGGTCTCCGTGTTGAAGAAGTAGCGCCTGAAGTAGGCTCGGCATTCACCTTCGTCTTTCGGCAGCTGGCAGTCCACCTCGGGTGCGGCAGTCGGCCCAAATCCTCGTCCGCGAACTTGAGGCGCCCGCGTCGTCGGGCGCAGGTGTGGCCGCACGTGCGTTTGGTCATGCACGTGCGGCGCCCGCGTCCGGCTGGCCCCGGCGCCCGCCGGCGACCTGTGGGGAGCGTCCGTGGTCGGGGCGTAGACTGGCGGCCGCGCCCCCTGCCGACTGCGCAGCACCTCCGTCCCATCGTAGGTGCGGTCTTGGCGACCGCCGTAGATGGGCGGCGGCTCCTGGCACGCGCTCTCGCACTCCGCCGCTGTGCCGAAACTGTTGGCGTTGCCGCCGCAGCCGCTGAAGTAGAAAGGAGCGCACTGGAGGCGTGCCGCCACGTACGAGTAGCGGATCACGTAGTTGTTGGGCCGGTCTGTACAGGCGCCTTCGACCCGGTCGGGCAGCCGGCAGACGGCCCGGCCGGTCGGAGGCGGATGCGTCTTGGGCGGCCGGCCGCCGGCGAGCACCGTGCCGCACCGCGCCTTGCACGCCGCCTCGCTCTCGAACCGGTTGTCGTTGCCCAGGCAGCCGCTGTATGTGAACTCGCGGCAGGCTCCGCCCTCGGGGTCGCTGTACCAGCGCGGCTTCGCGCGCTTGCAGGCGCCGCGCACCGCCGGCAGGTGGCAGAGCGCGTCGCCGCCGGGCGACACGCACTGCGCTGCGCACGCCGCCTCGCTCGCGAACCGATTGCCGTTGCCGCCGCAGCCGCCGTACCAGAAGCGCAGACAGCCGCCATATTCGATGTCGTAGTACCAGTGCACGGCGAAGCGGTCGCAGGCGCCGCGCTCGGGCGCGAGTGCGCAGCTGGTCTGGGGCACGGCCGCGCGGCCGCCCGCCGCCAGGGCGCACAGCAGCGCTGCCACGGCTAGAGCACGCGCCATGGCGGCCGACGGGTGACGACTGACGCCTCGGCGGCCGCGCCGCCGTTCGGCAGAGCGGCGCATGCAACGCCTATCGGCGCCGCCGCGAGCCGGGCCGGCAGCTGGGTCGGCGGTACGGGTCCGGCCCGCGCCGCTCGCCGCCGAGCCGGGCCGGCAGCTGGGTCGGCGGTGGTCCGGTCCGCCGCGGGATGCCGGCGCCGGCGCCAGCGGGCGCGCCCGAGGCCGAGGCTGCAGGTGGCGTCTGGCGGCGAGGGGCCGGAGATCTGTTGCTAACGGTGGCGACACGCTGCCGGAACCAGTGAGCCTGGGGAAACGCGACGCCGGGGAGGCCCGGCCAAAGATGGCAACGTGAGGCGTGCTTTGATGCTGTGGTTTTGTTGAGCGTGAAATATGCTATCTCGCCAGCAGTCGCGAGTCGTTTTTCGTGTTTTGTATCGAATGGTGTCTTCTTTCTCAAAACAAACAGTTTTTTCTGTTATCAACTGCTGGCCGCTGCGTGATGATATAGCAAACTTCACAGCAACACCTTGCGCCTTTGTAGATTTTAGAGCGCCAGCTGTGGCCCGGACTCTACCCTTGTGACTTGTCGCTTGTTCGCACTAGTGGGGAATGCGACGCTGTCGCATGGTGTAGCGCCTGTCGCTGGTCATTGTGTCGACCGCGCCATTGTGTGCGGTGCATGCCTAGTCGCATGCCGCCTGGCGTCTCAACGGCAGTGTCGCCCTGGGAACCTCCGCGATGGCGGCAACGGAGAAGTTCGGCATGCTTGCATGTCCACAAGGAATGTGTATATCGTTGGGGGGCCTGGCTGTAACAAGAGTCAATGCAGAAGACGCCATACGTTCGCCTCCGCCGGGGACGAGCCTGTGGCGTCGGCGTTTGCGGTGGCTCGTCCCAGCCGTGGACGAGCCTGTGGCGTCGGCGTCTGCGGTGGCTCGTCCCAGCTGTGGACGAGCCTGTGGCGTCGGCGTCTGCGGTGGTTCGTCCCAGCCGGGGACGAGCCTGTGGCGTCGGCGTCTGCGGTGGCTCGTCCCAGCCGTGGACGAGCCTGTGGCGTCGGCGTCTGCGGTGGCTCGTCCCAGCCGGGGACGAGCCTGTGGCGTCGGCGTCTGCGGTGGCTCGTCCCAGCCGTGGACGAGCCTGTGGCGTCGGCGTCTGCGGTGGCTCGTCCCAGCCGGGGACGAGCCTGTGGCGTCGGCGTCTGCGGTGGCTCGTCCCAGCCGGGGACGAGCCTGTGGCGTTGGCGTCTGCGTCTGCGGTGGTTCATCTCAGCCGTGGACGAACCTGCCTTGTCTTTGTCAGTCGGCGACGTCTTGGCTCCCGTGGCGGACGAGCCTGACGTCACCGTGGCGGCTCGTTCCAGTCGTGGGACGAGTACGAGGGCGTGGTGGACAACCTGGAGCGCCTGCTGGGCGTGGAGTTTGTGCGGCGCGGTGCGGCTGGTGCCGCCGGCGCCATCTCCGTAGAGTGTGGCATCTGCTACTGCTACCGAATGGCCGAGGAGACGCCGTCGCGCTGCTGTGATGACAGCCGCTGCGGTCAGCCCTTCCACAACTCCTGTTTGTACGAGGTGAGCGCCGGCGCCGTCCGGCGAGTTGCACTATGTGTCCTATTTGTAGCGACCGAGCTTTGAGACACGCCGCTATATGTGTCCTATTTGTAGCGACCGAGCTTTGAGACACGCCGCTATATGTGTCCTATTTGTAGCGACCGAGCTTTGAGACACCAAAGCGCGCCTCGGGCACGCAGTTTACTGCGTGCCCGAGGCGCGCTTTGTTGCTGCTCCGGGTTGTGCGAGCATGTGAAAGATGTAGTTCTCATGCAAGGCTCGCATGTTTGCAGCGGGAAAGATACCTGGCTTTCGCCAGGATTGTCTGTTGGCGAAAATTGGTGAAGGCCACGGCACCTTAAGGGTTGTGTTGGCAGAGGGGCAGTTGTCAAGTGTCTGGCGTAGTGTTCCTTCCACTCGTGCGGCGGCAAGCTCGGCGATCCACCGGCGTGAACAGACTGTCTGGACGTCACATGAGCTCACGCTGACCTCTCGGGCGGAGAGTACCAAGAGCAAGGCAGCGGGGCTCGCTCCAGGACGTGCTGCGGTCGTGGTCCATCTCTGGCAGGGTCGGGCTGGCTGCGGGCGCGCCGAACGAGCTTGGTCGCACCGTGCTTTACAGTGTCGCGCCTGGATACAGGGATTGCCGGGCTGACCGGCCCGTGGAGGACGAGGCTCGTGTGTACGGTGCTGATCCCCGGGACGTGCCACTCCTCCCTTGACCGACCCTCGCCCGCGTCGACAGTGGCTGCGGGCTCTTCCCAGCACGCGACAAACGCTGCGCACCGTGTTCGGCGACTGTCCCTACTGCTCCACGGTAGGTGGGGCGGCCATGCCGCGACAGGGTCGGTCTGCTGGTGGTGGGACGCAGCAAACGGCACGTGACGCAGTGGGTTTCACCTATGACGCGTTTTTGCAATGTGGACCAAACGCGTGAAATTCGATCGTAAATGCTGAAGAGAGCCGGTGGATGCTGGCGATTGCGGAGGGGGAGACGAAAAATGCGGACGCTGCGGAGTTTTGTTTTTGTTTTGTTTTGTGTTTTGTTGACCGTCGTGGACTGGCTTTAGGCAATCATGTCGATTGTTTATTTACCCGAAGTGTCTAGTTCATCACTGGCCGGCTGCACCTGCGGCGGGCGCTCTGCAATAGTCTGGTGGGTGATGCCCCTTCTATAAGAATGGATAGGGGGAGCTGCTGGCTCTCCGTTGTCCTCGCCGGTCGGTCGCACAGAGCCTCGCTTTGTTTGGCTTCGTTGGCGTCAACGGTGTGCGTGGGCTCGGAAACTAGGAGGCTTGGCTGGCCCGAGCGCCGGACATTTCAGACTCTGTGCAGTGTGGGGCGAACGAGCCAACAACATGCGGGGTGATGATGCGAATGGTGCGGGAAACCAAATGAACCGAAGTTCACAACCACGGTTGCTTCGATTTTTGTTGGCTGTTAGTCCAACCGAGCTAGGGAATTTCAGTTAAAGAAATCGACTAGTTTGTACTCGTGCTGTTGTGCGTTTATGATAAATATTTTGAAAGTTGCCAAAACTGGTGCATATTAGTCCCAAAACACTACTGTGCGGCCGTGCGGTTTCCGTAACCTAGCCTGCCATCCTGAGCTACGCCTCGTGTACCAGATCGCTGCCGGAAAAGGTGGCATTTGGCGTTTTCCGGTCGGTTGCTGGTGCGCCTATGGGTCCAACAGCTTTGGGTTAGCAGGCGCGCGTCCAGCAGCTTTGAGTCAGCAGGTATGGGGTCCAACAGCCTTGGGTCAGCAGATACGGGTCCAACAGCTTTGGGTCAGCGGGTATGGGTCCAATAGCTTTGGGTCAGCAGGTACGGGTCCAACAGCTTTGGGCCAGCAGGTATGGGTCCAACAGCTTTGGGTCAGCAGGTACGGGCCCAACAGCTCTGGGTTGGCGGGTCCAACAGCTTTGGGTGGAACAGCAACAGCTAGCTGCCAAGGACATCTACAACGTCGACTAGCCCCCTGCTCCAGCCCAGCTCCCTCACCCCGTAGCCCGAGGGTGAGGGAGCTGGGGCCGGTCCCGTTGGCATCCATTCACCATTCGTGCACCCTTCAGTTTGGTTATTTTGGTTATTTTGATCAGACCCCTTTAGACCAGTAATGGTCATTTCAGGGCCAAGGGATAAAGGAATGTGCATAACGGTGGGGCAGGACTATATGTGTACCTGGGGGGGGGGGGGGGGCGCCGAGCTTTAGCCCGCGAAGGGAGACCTCTGCGGGGCATGCGCCGAGCACCTGGTCGGCGTCCCCACCAGCGAGCTTCTCGGCCCACCTGTGGCTGGTGCATGCAGCCTGCCACGGAAAATGAGGCTTGGCGAGGATACACCACAAAGCAGGAAAGGGAATCAGAGGGTCGCATCGTGGGCACGAGTTTGGCTGCTCGGATTACGGCCGTTCCGACCAGATATGATCATTTTAGAGGTATGGGATGAAGAGAAATGGTTAACGGTGGGGCAGACTTAAGTGCGCTAGGGGCCAACCGCCGAGCTTTGCCCCGCGCATGTGCGCTGAGCACCCGGTGAGGGTCCCCTCCCCACGGGGCTCTCGGCCCACTCGTGGCTGACGCATGCAGCCGGGCCCGGACAAGCGGGGTGTCGCGAGGACACAGGATGAAGCGAGGTGTAGGAGGAACGGATGCTGATGGATGAGTTAAATGCACCGCAGTGTATGTGCTGCCGCCAGCCGGTCAGCACCACGGCTGGACTTGGCCGCTGACGTCACGGTCCAGTTGCGAGAGGGTCGCGACCCCGATGTCCGCTGCTGTGGTGACGCGCCCCGTCTGAACCCCCGATGTCCGCTGCTGTGGTGACACGCCCCGGCTGGGCCCTCCGATGTCGGCTGCTGTGGTGACGCGCCCCGGCTGAACCCCCGATGTCGGCTGCTGTGGTGACACCCCCCGGCTGAACCCCCGATGTCCGCGCCCGCAGGGGCACCGGCTTCGGTCGGTGTAAGGGACTAGCGCCCCCTCGGGTCCCAGCTCCGGTAACGGGTGGACAGCGCAAGCTGTTCCTCTCAGGGCGTAGCGACCCTGCCGGTACGTGAGCCCCTTCTCCTTGTCCCGCTCGCTCCCTTCCCATTACCCATTTTCCCGCATCCGGCCCACTCATCACTCCTGATCCTCGTTTTATCGGGGTCGCCGTGCCCTCTCGCCCTCGTCCCCGGGTTGATCGGATCCTGGTGGCTGAGGGGCGCGTCGTGCGGGTCAGTCACGGCGCGTCCCAACACTCCACTTCGGCCAGGATATCCGGGGGCGCGGGGGGCCCGTGGGGCCCCACACGGGTCTAGCGGCTTGTCGCTCGCGTCGCGGTTGGGTGCTCCTTGCGGGTTCCGCTTGGGGCGCCTGGCCGCGCGCAGCGGCTTAAGGGGTCAAGGGGCGGCGGCGCTGAACCACGGTCAGGACGGGGAGGGGTCTCCCCGGTTACACCTGGCCGTGTGGGAGGCGTCGTCCGCCCCGTATAGCACCGAGGTAGCCCTGGCGGCACCACCACCAACTGGTGAGTGGGCCGTCCCCCAGTTGGGCTCCGAGGTGGGTGGGGAGCCCCGGTGCCGAAATAAAGAACAACCTTGCATGGCATCTACAAACCCAAAAAAACTCCCACCCCCCGAGAGGGGGACGGACTGCGATGAATTTAGGGTGCAGCGAGGAGTCGGTTCCTCCTGCCCCACGCGTTCTTGTCTTTCGGAGTGATGTGAAGAACCTGGCATCGCTTTCACCGTTTCAGCGCCGAAACGGATGCGACAGGTTGGGAAAAGTCACCCGCTGTGACAAGCTGAGGGACGGCGCGATCGAAGTGGTGTTCGCAAACGGCACCGATGCGACTCGAGATTTGACTGTAACTGAATTTGTATATGCCGCGAGAACCGAGGGTGCAAAGCGGGACGTGAGCGTGCCAGTCACGGTCACACCGCACCACACCAAAAATTTATCAAAAGGTATCATAAACTGCTATGACCTTCGTGACGTCAGCTAGGAGGAAATCATCGAAGAGTTGGGAATTTTCGGGGTCACGGCAGCACGTAGGATCACGACCAGGAGGGGTGATGACCAAATCCCTACAAACAACATTATACTGACATTCAACCGGTCTGATTTACCGTCTGATATCCGCATTGGCTACGCAGTTGTCAAAGTCAGGGTCTTCGTTCCGAATCCGATGCGATGTTTTCAATGCCAGCGCTTTGGTCATACAAAACCACACTGCCGCAATCGAGCTGTCTTTGGGAAGTGTGCATCTTCCGAGCATTCGGGAGACCAGTGTACCTCTGTGCAGCCCTGGTGCGTGAACTGTGGCACGGGGCAGGTACCGCACACAACTTTCGATCGAAGTTGTCCAGCCTTCATGAAGGAAAAGGAAATTATATCACTCAAAACTTCAAAGAACATTTCTTTCCGCGAGGCGCGTGAACAGTATGAGGTTAATCACCCCCAAGGTATCTTATGCCGAAAAATCCAAAACCTCTGTACCACAGTCCACCAGCATCAGTCACATGTCAGCGGTCCAACTCATCACGCTCCTGCGATCCTTCGGTTTGTCTGTGGTGCCGGCGGGGCGGGCGACCCCCGCCCAGTCGGATCCTCCTGGTCCTTCAGTTGCGTCCTGCTCTACCAACGCTGTGCCGCCGGACCTTCATGTGTCGTCGGGGTCGCAGGCGGGAGAGGAGGAGGGATGGACGGTGGTCAAGCGCGGCCATGGTCCGCGGGCTCGGCCTTCCTCGCCGTCTGTCACTCCGCTGCCCTCGTCGCGTCCGGCGACGCTGGCGAGTGTGTGTGGACGAGCAGCGGAAACGATGGAACGGCATGAGGCGGACAGGCGCGCCCGCGACGCCAAGCGGGCCCGCCTAGAGGAGTTGGAGAGGGCTAAGACGGCCAATCGCTTGTCCGTTGCAAGCAAGGAGCCCACCCCTCGCAGTGGCACATCATCGCCGGGAAGGCCAGTGGAGGCCCCCGCTGACCCCCAGACGCCCGGTAGAGGCCCGCCGATGGGCCCTCCCCCGCCGCCACCCCGGACCGGGTACGCTGGCGTCAAGCGTGCCCCGGCCGGTCCCCCGTCTCCACCTGACGGCGGGAGCCCCAGAACTCGTCCCAGAGTGGGGCACCTCCCTGCAGATTCCAACCGTGGCTCTCAGTCAGAAAAGTCTGCTTCTGCGACTGGCGCAGCCCAGTTCTTTTAGGACGTGTCCGGTTTTAGTATGTGACCTCCAACCGGCTTTTTAACTCGCCCCCTTTACAGGCCTATTTACAGTGGAACTGTAGAGGAATAAGGGCGAATGCCCTCGACCTCCAGGCTGTCGTCAGCAAGCACTGTCCTGCAGCCGTAGCGCTGCAGGAGACCAAGCTTGCTTCTAGTCACCACTGCACGCTGAAGGGATACGCCCTGTTTCGCAATGATGTGTTAACCGACGGTATCGCACATGGCGGTGTCCTTCTTGCAGTCCACCACAGCGTGCCAGCCAGGAGGTTTAACCTGCGGTCTACGCTACAGGCTGTAGCCGCACGCCTACATTTCAATCACCGTCACATCACGGTGTGTTCTTTATATCTTCCACCTGGCGTCGGTTTTCCATTGGAAGACATGAGACGTTTAGTGCATGAGTTGCCTTCACCATGTCTTCTTTTAGGCGACTTCAACGCTCATCACACCGCGTGGGGCTGTGATAGCACGAACACCCGCGGAAGGATGTGCGAACATTTTATCCGTGACTCGTCACTGTGTATTTTAAACACAGGGACTCGTACTCATTTTACACTGCCGTCTGGTCAGACTTCCGCGCTTGACCTGAGTCTTTCTAGTCCCGAGCTGGTGGAGAGCCTCGAGTGGTCTGTGGCAGATGATCCAATGGGCAGCGATCACTTCCCAGTGTGGCTTCGATTCCAGATAAGAGGAACGTTGGGTGTAAGACCACGACGTTGGAATTTAAAAAAGGCTGACTGGAGTGAGTTTGAGGCTCGACTGGAGACATTATGTCGGACCGGAGGTGTGAGGGTGGCACCCTCTATTGAGGATTTTACTCACAGACTTCTAGATTGCGCTAGCAATTACATCCCGCGCACTTCTGGATTTCCTCGTCGCACTCCTGTGCCGTGGTGGACGGAGAAGTGTCGTGACGCAATTCGCGCACGCAAACGTGCTTTCCGAGCTTTTGACGCCAGAAGTAGCTTGGAGAATTAAGTAGCCTTTAAGAAAGCCAGAGCTTTCGCCCGCCGCACGATAAAAGAAGCGAAACGTGGATCCTGGCGTATGTACATAAGCACGCTCAACCGATTCACACCAACTACGCAGGTTTGGGCTCGGATCAAACGAATCTCCGGGCAGTTTTCATCCGTGCCACTTCCTGTGTTACATGTTAACGGCCAGGTGGTGACTCATCCGTTGGATGTGGCTGACGGGATCGCCCGAGCACTCTCCCACCGTAGCGAAGGTGCAAACATGAGCCCACAGTTTTTACGGCAAAGAGCACAATCCGAAAAAACCGTAGTGAACTTTTCTACAAGGCAACCACAGGCGTACAATGAGCCCTTCACTTTGGTGGAGTTGGAGTCGGCAATCGGAAAACTTCGTAGTGTATCGGAAGGTCCTGATGACATCCACAATGAGATGCTCCGACATCTGCCACCGTGTGCACGTCGTGTACTATTGGCGGCCTTCAATAGGGTGTGGTCAAGAGGTGAGTTCCCTCCGGCCTGGCGGGAAGCTGTTGTGGTGCCTATCCTAAAACAGGGAAAGAGTGGGCTGGACCCTCTTCATTACCGACCCATTTCACTGACGTCATCACTGTCCAAGCTCATGGAAAAGATGGTAAACGTGCGACTCACTTGGTTTTTAGAGAACAACGATATTTTTAGTAACTCGCAGTGCGGATTTAGGAAAAACCGTAGTACGGTGGACCATCTCTTAACACTGGACACCACGGTTCGCAAGTCTTTTCAAGAAAAAGCGCATATGGGGACAGTATTCTTCGACATTGAAGCCGCCTATGACACCACATGGCGCCATGGTATTGTTCAAAAGCTTTTTAAATATGGTATACGTGGCCATATGGATGCTTTTCTCCAAAGGTTTTTAGCCAAACGATACTTCCGTGTTCGGGTCGGCAACGTCGTCTCCGATAGGTACGAACAAATAAACGGCGTGCCCCAGGGCGGCGTGTTAAGTGTAGCACTGTTCGCAGTTATGATAAGTGATATTTGTTATGTGCTCCCACAGTCGGTCGGACGTGCCCTTTTTGTTGACAATTTTACTATTTGGACCAGTGCAGCGAGAGCACCAGCGATGGAGCGGCGTCTCCAGCTGGCTGTGGACCGCGTTGAAAGATGGAGTGGCATGAACGGGTTTCGTTTTTCAGGCGACAAGACCGTTGCGATGCATTTTTGTCGTCGCCAGCGATGTGATGATCTGAGCATTCGTCTATATGGTCGCTCTATTCCAAATAAGGCCGTGGCCAGGTATCTTGGGATACACTTTGACCGCCGCCTTACATATAACGCACATCTTAAAATGTTACGCGATCGATGCTTTAAATCTCTCAACATACTTAAGTGTGTGTCTCGCACATCTTATGGGGCAGACAGAAGCACGCTTATGCTTTTATATCGTTCCCTCGTCCGCTCCAAACTGGATTATGCATGCTTTGTTTATGATGGCGCGTCTGAATCCAGCAAGCGTGTTCTTGATACCGTCCACCATACTGCCATTCGCATTGCTACTGGGGCGTTTCGCACATCACCTTCCGTCAGCCTTTTAACGGAGGCACACGAACCACCACTTTCGAAGAGGAGGAAAATGCTTGGCATGCGTTATGCCTTGAAGCTGCGGCAGTTCCCACTTCACCCGACATATTCTGCAATATTTTCGCGGTTTGCGGTAAGTTCTCTTCGTCATGGGCCGCAGCAGCACGCTTTAACTTTTGGTTCCCGAATGAGAGCGTTATTGCTTGAGAGCGGAATTCCTGTTCGGGGCGTAAGGCAAGTAAGCCGCCTGGCTTCTCCTCCTTGGCAAATGACCACACCCTTCATTGACACCTCGCTTGCGGAAATTAGGAAAAAAGACGCCACACCACACCTATTGAGATCCAGGGCAGTTGAGCTTTTGGCGTGTTACGAAGGATATACCCTGACATACACAGACGGATCCAAAACCTCGGATGGCGTGGGTTGTGCTTTCGTTAGCGGGTCCGTCACTCGATCGTTCTCGTTACCGGCCCACTCGTCAGTTTTTACGGCGGAATTAGTTGCAATCACCAAGGCGATATGTTTCATAGAAGTGGGTGAAGAATCTTCACACGCCATTTTTACAGATTCACTGAGCAGTCTCTCTGCACTGAAGTCTTTTTATCCATCATGTCCCCTTTTACAGGACATTTTATCACGCCTGACACAATTGAATCGGGTTGGAAAGAGAGTTGCGCTGTGCTGGATCCCTAGTCACGTCGGTATCGTGGGCAACGAACTGGCTGATGCCGCTGCTAAGCGAGCAGCGGTAGCACCATATACCCGGCTTTTGCCTATCCCTGCCAGAGATTTTTACCCGGCAGTCAAGACCTTCCTGAGAAGCAGATTGCAGCGTTGTTGGGACCAGGTGGGGGGCAATAAGCTCAGGGCAATAAAGACGGAGTTGGGCTTGTGGTCGTCATGCTCTCGCAGTGTGCGGTGGGAAGAGGTGGTTTTATGCTGGCTGCGCATTGGGCATACTTATGCCACCCATGGTCATCTGTTGCATGGAGCCGACAGACCCCTATGCCAGCGGTGTGGTGCCGTCCTGACTGTCCATCATGTCATTATATCATGTCCATGCCTCTTCGAAGAACGACGACGTCACTTTGGTTCACAGGCTTCGACCCTGACGATTAACGATGTGCTTGGTGACAGTTCCTCCTTTCTTGATCCCAAACAGCTCTTTTCGTTTTTAAAAGATATTGATTTTCAAGTCATTTTCACCCCGTACTAATTAAGTAACAGCATAGTTATGGGCGCAAAATGACCACTGCAGTCGACGCGCCCGAAAACTCCAATGAACAACAACAACCCCCGATGTCCGCTGCTGTGGTGACACGCCCCGGCTGAACCCAGAGCCTGGTAACCGCTCACCGAGTCACGAGCCCTTCCTGTGCCGTTCCAGCCGATCTCATGCGAGATACCGTCCGGCTGAGGCCGCCGACAGCGCCATCCGACCGCTGGCGAGTACATTTCAGTTGTGACCGCCCGCCGCCAGATGGCCATTCGACATGGGGCCGCGCCCTGCACCACAGCGGAAGGCTCGCGCCATTTCACAGGCCTGATGAGAAATGTGCGGTGCGCGCACTATGTTACGCCGTCATCGTGCTCCTTGTGAATAAGAGAGGAAATCAGCCGGTTCTACACTGTCGACTTATCAAGTAGTACAGATACTGGGCCTCGTTCCAGTTTCCGTCAGAGGCGGCGGTATTTGGATCTCCAGCGGTGGCGTGCCTTGTGCCCTGTGATATGAGCAATACAGTGAAATACGACTAGTTGAGTTATGTTGGGACGCCAAGGCAATCGATGAGGCCAGCTGTTTTAATGGGAGCTGGGCTGATGAGAAGGAAGAAGTCGCTGCGCGGCACCACGACACAGACACGTGGTGAGCGCGCCGACACCGTCCCTCGGAGACGCCTGGCGCCTGTTGAAGCGAGGGAGCGGTCCGATGAACAGCGGACCATCCCATACCCCCTCTCCGGCGACGGGCGGAGCTCCGCGCTACCAGCCGGTGACCAATACGGAATCCCTCTCCTCCTGTCCCCCAGAGCAGGCGCCACCAGGAACTTGCGTCACGTCCCGCCCTGCGTCCTATGTTTCGTCACGAGAGGTACGGGAAGGTCATGTCAGCCTCCCGGCAATTTGCAGTGTTTAAGGTTCTATTTACGACGTAGCATAAAAGAAACGTAAGAACTCCACATTTTAATACACATCACAGCCGTAGGCCGCTTCGGCAGCATATATGCTATGAACAGGGGGAAGGGCCACTGGATGCGTCGTCAGACCTCCGACCGAAATGTACAGCTCCAGCCAGCGTCTCCGGTGCCGATGAACGCCGCAGGCGGCGATTATCGGTCCTCGGAGGTGGCATGCCTATTGCGCCTCGGCATCATCAACACAGCGAAGCTACGAAACGCCAAGTTTTATTAGGACACAAGCACAAACAATAAGACCAGCCAACCTGGCGGGCGGAAGATGAGACTTTGAGGACAATGGCATCCGTTGCGTAATACCGCGCTACACGTGCGTGGCACGACACGCCGTCGCCTCCACCTCCCCTCTTCGCGACACCTGGTGTCGCTTGGTCGGGACGCGGCGATAGACCGGTGGACCGCCTGCGTCCCTCTCCGATCACGAACGAAACTCTCGCGCCGCCGTTACAGCGAGAAGTCCATGAAGTCCTCGACGGGCTCGACCTTGCTAGTCGGCGAGACGGGCGCTGGCAGCTTGGCTGACAGATCGAACGTGTTCTCCTCGTCCTCGTAGCGCGGCGGCATCTGGTTGTGCACGGCCAGGTCGATGGTCGGCTTCTGCTTGACTACTTCGCCCCACTCAATCTTGAAGCGCGTGACGCGGGGGCTGGAAGCCAGGATGTTGCGCTGCATCTTGTCGAACTGTGGCTGCTCCGGTGGACTCTCCTGCCGACGCGGAGGGATGGCGTCAGACGCAGGGCGACGGCACGCCGGGCGTCAGACGCAGGGCGACGGCACGCCGGGTGTCGGACGCAGGGCGACAGCACGCCGGGTGTCGGATACAGAGCGACGGCACGCCGGGTGTCGGACGCAGGGCGACGGCACGCCAGGTGTCGGATACAGAGCGACGGCACGCCAGGTGTCGGACACAGCGACGGCGCGTCGGGTGTCGGACACAGGGCGACGGCATGCCAGGTGTCGGATACAGAGCGAGGGCACGCCGGGTTTCGGATACAGGGCGACGGCACGCCGGGTGTCGGACACAGGGCGACGGCACGCCGGGTGTCGGACACAGGGCGACGGCACGCCGGGTGTCGCACACGGAGCGACGACACACCGGGTGTTAAGACACGGAGCGACGACACACCGGGTGTTAAGACACAGCGACGACACACCGGGTGTCAGACACGGTGCGACGGCACACCGAATGTGAGACACGGTGCGACGGCACACCGGGTGCACGGGACACGGGTGACGCACGGCACAGCCAAGCAGACCAGGTTAGATACGCCATCATCACACGACAATGGCCGCAGCGATGATGATGATGATTTGGGCTTTGGGCGCACCGACTACGCTGGTCATGTGGCAATGGCCGCAGCCATTTGACCGCCCGCCGGCAGGCACGCCACTAACGCCTACAAGGGGTCCCGCCACGAGGGCACCCGACAACACGACAAACGCTGTGGGTCGGCTCCCGGGGCTGTCGGAACTCCCTACGAGTCCGTTATGGTCCTAAAGCACCAGCCAAGCCACTTTACTTCGCGGTCTACGCGAGTGGACGTGCAGGGAGTGTCCATTGGAAGCGGCCTCGCGTGAGTGGCCGTGCAGGGAGTGCCCATGGGAAGCGGCCTAGCGTGAGTGGGCGTGCAGGGAGTGTCCATGGGAAGCGGCCTAGCGTGAGTGGACGTGCAGGGAGTGTCCATGGGAAGCGGCCTAGCGTGAGTGGGCGTGCAGGGAGTGTCCATCGGAAGCGGCCTCGCGTGAGTGGACGTGCAGGGAGTGTCCATGGGAAGCGGCCTCGCGTGAGTGGACGTGCAGGGAGTGTCCATTGGAAGCGGCCTAACGTAAATGGACGTGCGAGGAGTGTCCATCGGGAGCGGCCTATAACGCCCAACACATTGACCTATTTTGAAGACATATACATGCGACACGACACAGTTATCGAACACCTGGCTGCATATAACAATGTCCCGGTGGAATGCGCGATCCGCAAACATGGCGAAGCAAATCGTTGAAAGCACCGAGTGCGTTAACTTTAAGAAATGTCGAAAGCTGCTGGAAGTTGCCACTAGCGATTCTGACAAAACTGTGCAAATAAGGTTCCCATGACGGAGGTGTAGTCTTGAATGTCATGGCATTGGACGTCTTCAGTCGGATACCATGCCTTTCTTTTGCTTTCAAGATCACCACAAGATTACTTCCGGCCTGACCCACGCCCCTGTCTGTTCAAATTTCAAATAAGACGGTATTTTTTTTAAAGTTGGAATCCAACTGGTATCTCCAGTAGCGAGAGTGTACACACTGGCTGAAAATTCGCGGGCCATGTTTATCGCCACATTGGCTGTAAGTCGCTCTCTTTTACCTCTGATTCGGGTCACAAAACTAACATAACACGGCATCAGGCTGTGTAAAGAAACAACTCCACAGGTGTACAGCATAACGGAACACTCGGAGGTTTTCGCGCAAAACATCTCATTAATGTCCGCCGCCCTGTTCCCCTCCCCCCTCCCCCTTTCGGTGACGTAACCCTGCTGGGTCCACTGCATCGGCCCCCCGGTCGCCCCACCCTAGCCAGCCGACCGTCGCGCGCACCTTCAGCTCAGGGTCCGCGTAGTCGTTGTTGACGTAGTAGCCGACGCGGACGAACTCCTGGCGCCGGTAGCTGCAGGTCAGCAGAACCACGGTCACGCCCAGCGCGTCCTGCAGCGGAATCTTGGAGGTGTCCGGGGCCGGCGCGTCGAACACGAACATGTGCCGCCCCTCCGGTACCGGGCCCACGAACACCGTGTCCAGCACCTGACGGAGGACAGGGTCTGTAGCATGTGCCACCCCTCCAGCACCGGGCCCACGAACACCGTGTCCAGCACCTGACGGAGGACAGGGCCTGCAACACGTGCCACCCCTCCAGCACCGGGCCCACGAACACCGTGTCCAGCACCTGACGGAGGACAGGGCCTGCAACACGTGCCACCCCTCCAGCACCGGGCCCACGAACACCGTGTCCAGCACCTGACGGAGGACAGGGCCTGTAACATGTGCCGCCCCTCCGGTACCGGGCCCACGAACACCGTGTCCAGCACCTGACGGAGGACAGGGTCTGTAGCATGTGCCACCCCTCCAGCACCGGGCCCACGAACACCGTGTCCAGCACCTGACGGAGGACAAGGTTTGTAACATGTGCCGCCCCTCCGGTACCGGGCCCACGAACACCGTGTCTCTAAAACTGAGTTTGTCCGGGCGGCTCCGTTGGTTGGAGCGCCTATATTCGGATTCAGCCACCTGTGGCTGGCCGGTTAACGTCGCTTAAAGCACTCGTTATCTGCTCCGGACTGCGGCGGCCTGCGGTCCGTGGCAGCGGCTGCCATTTCAGTCAGGTGGCATCAAAGGGCAGGATGGATCGTGCCGAGCATTGCGACACGTTAAACTTTTGCCACGGAATTCTGCCGGCTATCTGGAACTTAACGATCGAATTGCGGGATCAAGCCTAATGCAACAAGCGCTGCAATGTCAGGGCTCTGGTTCCAGAAATTCATCCATTCGGCAAGATTTGGACGAATTTCTAGTCAGAACCACTAAGCCTTTGAGGAACAAACAATATAGAAGACTATGGCGGTTCAGCATTCCCACCGGTTTTCGCCTCTTTTTACCAGTAAAATCCAGAAAGTGGCCAGAAACTGGTTTGCCGTCCGAAATAATAGCTCCCGTGACCACAATGACTTGGTAGCTGAAAATGGGATATTAATTATGTGCCAAGGAAAAGTGGCATATGGAAAAGAAAAATAGCATCTTATTCAACTAAAGCCTTTTACAAAGCATCTCATCACACGTATCAGCATGTCTTGCTGCCGTCCTACGATGCAGGTTCGCCCCAGTGTCGCCCCTTACGTCCGCTCACCTGGTCATGCTCCTCGCTCTCCGCCGAGCCCACATAAATGATCTTCCACTCGAGATCCTCGGGCAGCGCCTCGATCGCCTCGAAGGTGATCTCGAACTTGAACGGCGAGAAGAACTGCGCCGGGTTGTCCAGCAGGCTGACGTTCGTAATGTGCACCTTCGCCATAGCGGCCGACCCCCACCGAAAGACTACCACCAGAGTAGAGATCACCGTCCCCCAACACCGTTCCCTCTCTACCGTGGCCCGCGAGAGGCGCTGCTCTCCCTGAGCGCACCTCCGCGCCGCTGCGTCGCGCGCGCGCCGCCGCCGCGGGGGTTAGTGCGCGCTGTCGGTGCGGCTGGGTTAGTGGGCGGTGCCGCGCGGCGCTGCTCGCTTTCCGGCGGCTCGACGCAGCGACGGCCGACTACTGGGCGCTGTGCAGCGTCCAGATGATCGTCTGGGAGGCGCCCGTCACGGCCACCACCTTCCAGCCCTTGAGCTCGAGCTTGTCGAGCACCACCCGCGGACAGTCGGCGCACTGGTACACCTGACTGGCGGCACACAACGATCAGCGTCGATCAGCGACAGCGGGGCCGCATCCGAGCAGGGACTGGCTGACGGCTCTGAGCTGGCGGAAACAGATACCCTGAGGGGACGAATTTATCTAAAAAAAACTTTCAATACATTTCCAGGAGTAACTGACGACCATGAAGGGTGATGTTTGTGGCGATGTTCGTGCGACAAGGGAAACATTTCTGCCAAAACCACTGACAGCAGAAGGAGCTAAAGTGACGTAATCAAGGACACAACGATGCCAGTCTCACCCTTGGTCACTTATGACCACACGCATGATACTTACAAATCGTTGCCAACCTCGTTTTTCTTCTCGGCTCCGAGAAAAGCCATCAACTCCGGGTCCGCGTTTTCATCTCCGACAATGGTGGGACCAGACTCCTGAAAGCAGAGCAGCGCGCCCTGGTAACGCCTTTGGAGCAAATCACCTCAGTGGCATGCAATGATATGCAAGAATATGAGGTGGGGCAAACAATGGCTACAACCTCTGAAAAGCAGCCCATTCGGCAGACTATGGCTTGATCTTGTCAGATGCATATAGAGTGCTGTTAAAGTCACGGAAGAAGCTAGACCAATAAGGTACAGGAACCATAATGATAGAAGTCTGTCAAGTGACTGCAACCCTAAAACAGTTGCATGAAACTGGAATATACACTGTCTATTAGTGAATCATGTGTGCAAAATGTGTCACTGAAATAAACCACTCCAGTTTGCACGAACAGGTAATTGTGTTGCAGTTGTATCACCCACTTCATTCTACTGATGTTTCATTATCATGTGAGTGTGAAAGTGCTTGCACTGTTCAGCACTGGCCAATATTTAGTGCATTTTTCACCACCTGGTGAAGCATCCATGGTCTTTAAATGGGGACATGTATTGGTTAATCACGGACCATACCAAGATTACACCTAATAATGGGGTGCTCACCAGTCTGATCAGAGTAGAAATCATAAGATAAGGCATGGTTAATGTGCAGCACACAGTATCAGCCCCTGCAATGGGAAAGATGTCACACAGCGGGACATAGTGAGTAACCACAAACTGGCCAGTTATGGGAGTGAAGGCAGCGGCAGCAGCAGCTGAACTATGCTGTGTCCCGTCAGGCTTCATCTGCAGTCAAACCATGCAACTTCGGGCCCATACATCCAGTAATGATATACTCCCATATGTTTTGGTTGGCCCCAGTATGACAGTCACTCATTCCAATGCTTGCATAATCTGTCCACATAGCTCAGTTGGTGACCGTGACTGCCTTCTGATCTACCCATCTGTGCCAGGGTGGGTTTGAGTCACTTTAGGTATGAGCTATCTGTCCTTGACAGATGTGGCCTGCAGCTGGTGGTAGCAACCACTCTCAGGGTTAGGTGGCACCAGGGGGCAGGATGGACATGCCAAGCATTGTGGCAGGTTTTTGCCAACAACTTGTGTTGTTGACCTCAAATTGCATGGCTAAATGGCAGGAGTCAGAGCTCACACAACATTAACTGCTTAAAATGGATTCTGATACCAGAGATACATCCATTCAGAAGGTCTGCACCCAGCTTTTAAAAATATGTGTAATAATGTCACTGTGAGTGGAGAATACCAGTATCAAGTTCCCGGCACTTGTGATTGGTATCATCTACATTACTTGTTGGTTTTGGTGTTTCAAAACTTAGCCTAAATTTTCATAACATTGCACAGTACAGTGACCATAAGCAAGGCACCTATGCTTAAAACCACTGTTAGGTCATACAGTAAGCAACACCAGTAACACAAAAGGTTACAGACAGTGTCATGTTTAAGCTGGGTGTTTGGGAAACCAAAGGCATGGCATTTGATTCACTGAGGTGCCCACCCTTCCTGCCAAGGTGGGAGGCAGCTATAGCCATATAGCCCAAGCAACAGGTTGCATCAGAAAGCCCAATACAATGACACAGATAAGGCAGTTTGCACCAACAGACAATCACTAGCATTAGCAGACAAAGAACTTTTAATCTCTCATGTTCTCATACCCACATGGGACTACAAGCCTTAGCTTGTTCCAAGGGGCATGCCATATGCTGAGCTTGGCGTTCTGTGCTGATGCAGCGGTAGCAAAATGTGAATGTTTTGTGAACTGGAAAAAATATTATTCTTGTATTTGTTTGTACACCACCAACTTGTGGACAACTGCATCCAAAATTTGTTTGATTAAGGTGTGAACTATTATCTCACATGTTGTAAGACAGCACATGAGAAATTATTTGCATACAAAGTTTAAATAAAGGACATCAAGAGAATACCAATACCAGTAATGAGATACTAGGATGACCAGATCAATATCTTTGAAGCAATAAATATCAAATATGAGCATATGCCTGCCTTCCATCCCTCCTCTCTCCCCCTCCCCTTTCATGAGCACCCCATACATAACAAACCAGCTTCCAATAGTGTACCAGTTAATGCCTAACCGCAACTGTGGAATACCACACTGAAATTATAGGTAGCATAATCATCTACCCTTGCTTCCTCTTGGCTTTTAAAATAATGACCTGGTGATCCCTATCACATTTCCTACTTCAAAATTCACTATCATTCAATTTGTATTTGCATTTCATTCCACACTAACATCTCCAAGTATGCACTACCACTGCCACACATATTCCACATTTTGCCCAAAAGGGTGGAGGTGCATCTAACATGCACTGAACAGAATTGCCCATGCACAAACATTTTATACAATTGTTACATCTCCTTGACGACTGTGCCAGGAGCCAGCTTCCATGGCAAGAATGCCCAAATTTGTCTAAATCAGATTTAAGGACATCATATGTACTAAGTAAACTGAAGCACCGTAGGCCAGCGCTGAAAGGACCGCGACAACGCGGGGACCTAGTGCGCTGCGCAAGTAGATAAGAATGAAGGAAGAAGTCAAAAATATGTGCACATGTTAAGGACCAAGCACACCAGACATACACACGACAAACCGCTCCGAAATCACCAATGCAGCCAGGCCGGACGTTGAACCGCAAGCAACCCTCACACCCACACAGCAGTTTTGGCGCCTTTTGCGCACTGCGCCACAAGGAAGCACACGCACATACACGTACAAAGTGTTTTCGGCGCGAAATGCTAAGCTCAGCTAATCTGCTGCTAATATTTTGCAGCAAGCTGACACAATATGGCCTTTGATAGTGGCAATAGCCATGCCATTAGGATGCATAGACAGCTGTGAAATATGGTTTTGCATTACGCGAGGCACATTCATGAGTAAATTCCACGCTGATTCTGGGGGGAGCCATAAAAAGTTCCGGATCGCAGTGTCCAGTGTTCATATCGTCCAAGATCGCAGCATCCAGTGTTCATAACGTCCAGAAAATGTCCAATTCCGTGCCCATTCGGGTGTTCATAAGGTCCAGGGACGCAAAGTCCAGAGTCGCAAAGTTCAGAGTCATAAAGTCAAGTGTTCAAAACGTCCAGTATCCATGGCAACCAGGGCTAGATTGGATTCCAGCCGCTAGATAACACTACAGAAGCATCTTTGAGTCCTGCCGCTATTTCCCTATTTTGTCAACAGATTGCACAGCCAATCTAGCACTGTACTGATGATCGCATGATGCGTACAGTCAAGCATGGTTACCATAAATTACCTAGACGCCTGGCGGCCGTGTCCGGCCTGGGTATGGCCGCGCCCCGGGGCTCACCGGCAGACTGGGCGCAGATGCGCCGGGCGACGGCGCGGCCGGAGACATAGCCGGCGGCGCAGGCTCGGCAGGGACCGCTGTGCCCGAGGAGTAAGCGGGCTCTCCCGCCCCGCCGCTGCTGCCTGAGTCCCAAATGTCAGGGTACACTCGGTTACTCAGGGGCTCTTCATATTGGTATCGGGTTATTTCCACCTGCTTGGAGGACCCCGTGCTGTTGCTGGGGCCCCATATAAGGTAACGCTCCGAAGCACTCGATGCTCAGGGGCCCTCTTCATTGACCTATGGCTCTTTTCCTTTTTGAGCTTATTTGCTGAGGACCCTTCACTCGTCAGAGCTCTCTCTGTTAACCTGCCCGGGCACTCTTGATCACACAGGGGCATTAGTTCATGTACACTGATCTTCGGCTAATGCCCATTGTTCAGGAGATTATGTACTTCGGCCGGACCCTACATGTTAGCCTGCCAGGGTGCTCCCGATCGTTCAAATGTCTTACCATATTGGTGTTAGATTCTTCTCGCTTGTTATGAGGACCCTTGACTGTTCATTGGAGCTTTTTTGTTGGCCTGCCACGGCAGTTTCGATTGCTCAGGTGCCGTCTTTATTGGTCTCGGGTTTTCCATATTATAGGAGGGCCTACGGCATTGACGGGGACCTAAATCTTGATAATTGTTATTGGGGCTTTACCTCTTACCGACTGACGACTGAATTTGCGGCTATGTCGATCACGCCGATGAATTCGTTATTGTCATTGTCGAACATAATTTTACACGCCGCCGACGTTGTGCATCTTATTCCATTGTTTCTTGAATTTGTGACGATTATTATACCTGTACGTAACGTTTTGATATATGTTTTAAAGGATAGGATATTCTGTATTCTCTTGCAACAAACAAAGGCAAAAACTCTGTATTAGTCCTCAGCTATCAGCTGATCTCATCAACTACCCGGCTATCCGTGTATAAGCTGGGAGTCAGGGTCGTGCTTGATTTTGATGGCATTTAGCACCCAATTTAAGTGCATGCTGCCATGTTTTCTTCGAAATGCTTCGCCTTAAAATGACACAATCCGCCATGATCCGACGAAGATGAACAGCCTCCATGTATTTGCATACAAAGCACGCCTAGTTTTCTGGGACTGCGCGCAGTAAACTAGGTTCCCGTATACGAACTGGATATAGTAAGAATATTCAAACTTAATGGCCGGAATACGAATATTTTTAGTTGATGCGGCCCTGAAGTCTAAGGAGCTCACAAAGTAAGAGGACTTCTCCAGTTGTCTAGCATTTTCGAAGTGTACATGTGTGGAGTTAGTTACCGTGAAGTTTTTACTACTTCATTTACATACTTCTTCGTGAAGTTAGTTACCGTGAAGTTTTTACTAAGTTACCACTTAGTTACCGTGAAGTTTTCTGCTTCCGATCACTACGACATGGTGTCATGTTAGTTCTGGACGGTGCTTTTGACCTAATCGGACATAGCGTTTAATAATGGTGTATGCATATATATATATATATATATATATATATATATGTATATATATATATATATATATATATATATACATATAGATGCTTTTATGACGACAGACACACGAAGCTCGCAGAACTTGCACGGTATATGACTGGTGACTGACTCTTCTATATATCTGGCCCTTCATTTCATTTCGGCACCCTAAACACTTTAAATCAGAGCACAAAACACGAGCATGCAAACCTATAATAAATATTTCACTGGACAGCACTCACTGCCGTTTTGACTTGGCAACAACAAACAATTACTTAGCCCTGCAGAATAAATTATTAGCACCACAAACTGTGAATAACATAATAAACACAGCAAATCACAACACTGCATGCCAACCATCCCATACTCGCGCCATTCATCAGTGTCTTGTTCCTTGTCTAAGTGATTTACTTGTGATGCTGCTCCAAAGAGATAATTCAGTAGTTTGATTCATTTCTTTGTGTAGAAGTCGTTTGTCGTCATGAATGAGAAATGCACCTAGAATGTTGAGTTTCATTGTTTTGTGTGTGGATGATAAAATTGCATTTTTTATGTAAGCGCTCGGCGCGCGAGGAGAGTATTGTGGCCGGGCTGTACATGATTCCTTGGTGACCCCTCCGTGAGACGCTCTGTGAGACGTCGGAAAAATGTTGTAGTTACACCACTGCAAGCATACGGAACCTTGCAGCAACACCTGACAGCGGTCAACAGGCGGGTGGAAATGACCACGTACCGAAATCGGTACTTTCCAACGCTTTATGAAGTCAATGGGCATGCGTGTAATGGCAAGACACAAGGACGTAATCTCTCTTGCTCGTAATTCTGCAGCTGCTGAACCCGTTCAGAGAATCAACTGGTCAGCCAACTAAATTGCATTGATGAAACCTTCTGGTCAGCAGCTGAAGGCATTACGTTCCACCCTGGGATCCCCAGCGGCTTTCAGTCTAGTGATAGCCCACAGGACCGCGCAGACCCTTTGGAAGGATGCATCACAACCGGTCCCCTCCTCGATACGGCTGGCCCTCTAACTGAGACATCCCGCAACGGATCGGCGCAGGGGCCTTGGCTGATGCAAACAGACTCTTTACTGGCACAGGAAGTCCAATAATTGGCACCGAGACACTAATTCGCCTTATCGGTCCCTGGTTGAAATGGTGCAGAGGATCCCTCGTCCGGTTCTGGTGTCCCTGGCTGGCACAGACCTCTCCACTCTCTCATTGTACATGGGAATCCCCTTTTGTCATTTTTCATGAATTCTTTCGTTGTCAGGAGGGTCCAGACCAGCACAATAGGCTCTTTGACATGAGCCCATCATCGTCCCTTTGCAGCAAATGTGCTCCTGGTTGGGGCTCATTGTCGACACATGGTCTCTTGCTTGGGACTGTGGTCACTGACCAGCAATGAGGGTCCTTCATTGTTTCAGGTGTCCCGACAAATGTAGGACGCCTTCTAATTGGCATTTAGAGATCTTGGCCTTGTCTCTGCTCGGGGAATAACCGCTACGCTCCAGAATAGCACTGAACTGACCGTTCGATATGGATGTTCTCAGTCAGTTGCTTCAAAAAGAAACACAGTCGCACGGGTCTCCGATCAGTACTGGAGCTACTCTTACATTTGAGCGTCCGGTCTTTAGGCTGTGATTCCTCCATACAACCTCTGGCCTGCCCTTCGGACCCTTTAATGGGGCTCTTGATCTTCGGCCCCAAGGGACCAAAAAGCACCTTCGGAACCCATGGGACACTTGGAGCCTAAGGAGGAGGTTGAGGGAGGCGTGCTTAATTCGGTTCCCCGCGAAATTGAAGCTTTAGGGGCCATTTTAAGTGCCCCTGGAATCTTCCACCGCCTTAAAATGGATGTTTGGGCCGATTATGGTGTTCCAATTTAAATTGGGGGCTCATGAAATAAATGTTATGATGCGCCGCAATCAAAGTTCTTGCTGCCCTTTCACCAAAGGAGCCGAACCGGGATTTTAACAGTGTAGGGCAGGGCATTTGTGGTGCCCCTGTATTTCGGTGCCCCTTGAAAAGGAAGTTTTGGGCCGCCTTCAATCGCTCTTTCAATCACCCACTTGCATTTGGTGTCTCAAAGAAGTAAATGCAATGGTGGTCCGAAAGAAGGGTGTCGCTTCGCCGAATGGGCCGATGCAGGATTTCGGTAATGGAGAAGTACGGGCACTGTGATGACGCGTCGTAAGGCCCCAATGACAACGGAGGCTGTTGGTGCCTGTTTCCTTGAACAGGGTGCCCATTCCCTGAACGGTCCGATTCAGAATGTTTCCAAAGTGAAGGGCACATCGATTGTAATGCTGCTGAATTTTGGCGCCCTTTTAATTACGGTTTGGGGATTTGTAAATGGCCCGCTTTGATTTAGCACCATTGGCAATCAAGATGATATCGCCCCGTAAGGATGATTTTTGCGCCTCCTTGCCCATAGGTCCGATCCAGGACTTAATCAGTACGGAAAGCTCAACATAGTTGTGCCCCTGGAGTTAATGACTCTTTCAGAATACAGGGTTAGGGCACTTTCTGGTACTCTCTGGAATTGGGTGCTTCTTGAAAACAAAGGTTATGTTGTTTTATGTCAAATTATGTCAAATCCCCGAAATGAAGGATTTGGTGCTACCTCATTACATGGGCCGACGAAGGGTTTCGTCGAGACCACGGCACGAACGTCGTGGTGCCCCTGCAACTTGGTGTCTCATAAAAATGTCGGTTATGTGGTTCCGAAATGAAGGTATTGTTGCCCTTTTGCGATGAAATTTGGTGCCTCTTCAGGGCATCCAAAACCCCTTGGGCCCAAGAGGGAGAAGACTCGACTCGACGCGAAGAATCGTCCTTGATTTGTGGTGCCTG